GTACAGGGGGGGGGAGGCAAAAAAGACACTTCGACCGAGTCACATATCAGCAAAGTTTTCGCAGCCCAGAGAGACGTGGATACGAGTACCAGGGCGGAAGATACCCAAGATGTTCCTCGATAAGCAGGAGCTGGCTCTCGCCCATCACCTTCATGTACACCAAAATATGAAGTCAGCCTGACTGGAGAAGACCTTTGGAATTCATGTCACCTCCAAACAGCTGCGAAACTTCTTGTATGGAGTCACCCATGGACAGACCTGGAGACCAGCACTCTTGATCTGGAAGACCTCCAACATCGAGCAGCTCCGACAACGTCGCTACGGTCCAGGATATCATCTTCACCGCAGTCGCCAAGGCGCGGGTTGGTGGTATGGACCGGAAGTTCCTGGAATGGGAAGACCGATATTTTCTTCGTGGACCCCGGACTGAAAGTGAACGCTGACGGTTACATCGACAACTCGTGGAATATCCTGCCTTCATGTCATCGCCTGTACCATCTTGGAAACTTCGTACTGCTACAGGATTGGGTGCCAGCACATGGAATCGAAGGGTTGGAAAAACTCGCCTACTTGGAATGGAAGGGCGTTGAGTACCTGAAGAAGACGGAATATCTAAGTGTGTCACCTGACCTAAACCCCCTCGATTACCGGGTCCGAGCGGAGCTCAACAGGGTGGTCTACAGTGGCGGAGAAATCAACGACCTCGCTGAACTCAGGCACCGAATCACGGTCGCGTGGCAGAATCTCTCGATGGCGCTCGTCCAGAAGGCTGTGGCGGAGTATCGTGATAGTGTACAATGTGCTGTTGAATATGGTGGTGGAAATGTCCAATCAGAATTGATAAAGTGTAACTTATATCGCCTTGAAAGTCGAGAAGAAAAGTGTCTTTTTTGGCCCCCTGTATGTATCTGTGCGCATCGTCGAAGTAGTGCGCACTGCTAGAAATTAACATGTGGGGCTAGAACTTCAAGGCGAACTGTACATTCACCTCCGTGGAATATGTACCCTGCCATATGTGAGGTTAATAGATCCGCAGTTGATCTTCCGGACACCATTGACGCGCCTGGCCCGTCCCGCGAAATGCCGCTATAAACCATGCAAATCTCAAAAAGCAGCGCCATTGTCGTGCTCCTGCCTGGCGCTCTGCTGAACTACACAGCGGAGTTCGACTCAGTAGAGCATTTTGCTGGTATACACCGATCACCGGCGATACCTCTTGTGGATGGAGAACTGTAAACTGCTGTAAAACTAAATGGTAGCATAAGTTTCGTTCACGCTTGAAGACAGCTCTCGCGATAAAAGCGTCATGGATAGTTTGCTCATGGAAAACGGCAGCTAATAAAGTAATTTCCCGCAAGGAGGAAAAAAAGCAACGAAAGTCCTCAAAAACGACCACAACAAATCCGCTTCCTGATAGTAACTCCTTCTATATGGCAACCTCTGCTCACAAACCCCTTGTCACATCTCCAGTAGTGAATGTCTCCAGTGCCAAAGAAAAGAATACGAAAGACAGCAAAACACGGAAAAAACTCTTGGAAAGGGAAAGAAACTCTCAAAAATCGGCGTCCAAATTCAGGGTTACGGTGGCGTGAATCTTTTAGTGTAGTGTAGTGCGTCGAGCTTTTGCACCACGAAAACTATTCACTCGTGATTTTTTACGCGTTTTACCATGCGAGATGGATTGGAGTTGACTGTATGTGCTCCTAATGAATAAAATGTAATAAAGGAGAGCAGAATCATTCATGGGCACGAGCGCGGTCAGCAAAAAGGGCATGCAATTCCGATTAATGCCCGCCGCCCCAACAAAGAACAACTGAGCGGCCCTCCGTCAGAGGGCATCTAGCAAGTGGGCGGTCCAACTGGGCGGGCGTTAGAACTAGAACTTTCAGCGGCTGTAGCTCGCTCCTCGCTGCTGTGGAGTCGCGAGAGTGGGACAGTCTCTAGCTTGGGGGCTGTACTACTTGCACAAGGAAGGACGACCATGTACTACTTGAGCGCGGGGGCTGTCTTTAACATGAATTTACAGGCCACACTGTTGACACTTGTAGTTCTTACAGAAACCAGCGAAAGAAACTGGCGGAGTGCAGAAAGCCTCCTCCCGTTTCTCTGAGCCGAGCAACGCTGATGCACTGCATTACATTACTCTAGACACAAATCAAAACGCTAATCAAAATTGAATTACCGTTCCCTTTCATTGATCTCAAGCATAAGAAACGGTAAGCAGTAAGAGTCGTGCCTGTTCTCCGCCATGGCAGCCTTAGGACGACGCCTGAGTTATCCCATGCCTTTCTCCTCCCGAAGGGAAAGTCGATTATCGAGTAGCACCTCCGGCTTCTTTCATACTCACGACTGAGGGCGTTAACCCACGTAGACCATGGCATTTCCTCTACTGCATTTACGATGTGAGATTTGGTCTTCGCAAACGTTCAAATAAAAGTGAAACTCGTTTTGTCTCCTGCTCCTCTCTTCTTGCAGCCTCACGGTAATAGTTGTGTTTCACTTCTTCTGTGCCTTACGAAGTTGACAGGTGGAGCATTAGATGTGTTCCATCTAACAGCCTCGTGATATACAGAGGCGAAACACTCCCTTAGTACGTCAGCAGCCACATATTCACTGATGAGTGTTTCTTCTTGTTTCAGAACAGAAGAAAAAGATTTGCGGTACATGAGGGAAAAGGCGGCATTCCGTGGCACGACGAGATATGCTAGTATTGGTGCTCTTGAAATGGTATCTGAGAACCTCTCTTTGTGTTGGCAAGTAATCGAAATGTTCTTCAAAGTGATTGAAATGCTTGTTAAGAAAGACCAGTGTCGAAAAGATGACGTCGAGGCGTGGTGGTATATGGTATTGGAATGGATGATAGGGCAGCTGCCATGGAAACATTGTCGTGTGAGTATGAACCCCGTTTCGAGCTACATTCTTCTGATTAGCTGTGAGAAAGCTCTATTTTGGTATTTGTTGATTGATCGCAGCCCTGATCGGATGAATGGGATGGTTTCCTCTTTAGTCAGGGACTGGTACGCTACAGTAAAGGCTACGTTGACTTCGCTCCGGAAAAGTGGGAATTGCAGGTGCTGCTAAGATGTTACTGCTAAGGTACTCGAATAACTGCATCCTTGGCCATTGACTCCGCCTCGAAATTAACGTGATTGCGCTCCGTCGATGTTCATGCTCCATCTCTCTTCTCCCATCTTCTTGTCGCAAGGTTCCAGCCAGTCCCATCATTCCTCATCACGACCTCTTGCATTGCTTGGGAGAGACTGCCGAAAGAAACAGAACTACCTTGTGCGGAAGCAGAAACATGAACAGTGTTTGAGTATTCAATCTTACCATAAGAAGACCACGCAGATGGTCCTTAGCGTTGGAGTGAGATCCAACCTTGACTTCATATAGATTTTGTTTCCAAAGACGTTAACGAGTTTTCAATGCGCCAATGTTTCGACGTTGTCGCCTTCAGAGCCTGGTAATGCCCGAATCTTTCAACTTACAGCAAAAATTTAGAAGGGTCACACTCTACTGTAACGTCGTAGAATCTGTGAGAAGAAAGAAAGTAGAAATTTTGGCCAAGGAGATCCATCAGTTTCCGTTTGTATATGTCTAGGCCGCCGGATCATGACTAAATGTCACAGACTAACTGCGCGCCGCTTCCAAAGCATTCGACATAAAATGTAAAGAAAAGAAAAGAAAGATTTTTGTAAATTGCATGGGATTGCGGCCTAATTATTGCTGTGATTAAGGGAGCTGATCGAGCCGAAGTGAAGATGTTTAAGCAGCAACTACGATTAGAATCAAATCTAAAGAAGGTTATTGCAATCTATAAACCTATTTACATGGTGGTGCTTCTATCACTGCGTGGTATTAAGGTCCTGAAGCACACTCCAAAAGAATACATGGCAAACATCATACTATATATTGATACACTAGAGTACAATTCTATACCAGACTATGATCACATCGC